ATCACTGCTATCTCCAATGTTTGGCCATTCTCAGACACTGTGTACCTCTCTGCCGGTAGGGTGTGTCCAGTTTCAGTGTCGATTACTTTCCAACTGTAGTTGGCGATATTAGGCACGCCCTCCCCATTACATTGAAAAAATGTACATGTAGACGTCCCCTCCTCAACCCTAGATAATGCTAACAGAATGTTGGCAGTCGGTAAGATTCCCAGCAGCATCTCAGAGCAGTTACGTGGCTCATCCAAGGCAGGCGTGGTCATAGTGCAAGTGAAAATCACACCATTGTCTTGAGCTTGTAACTGATATGGATGAAGAATTGAATTAGTCACTGGACCTACCAACTGTTCATTCTCCTTATAATATGTGATGTTTGGAGCAGGTTTTCCACCTTGAACATTACAGCCAACAAGATAAGCTTAGCCGTGCCAGCACTCTCCGGTAAAGCCCCGGGAGAACCATACAGACACGAATATGTCCCTTCATCGGTTTCCTGTACATTTGTGATCCTCAAAGTTAACTTGTCTTTGCTCTCATTACCCATGATGGACAGACGTTGTTCCAGCTGTGGGGGTAGAGAGGGCATTGGATATAGCTGTCTATTAAAGCTAAGGTAACTCTCTTCATAATACCAGTAGATGGCAGAATTGCCTACGTTTGTAAAGTCACGGGTGAACTGGACAGTGTCTCCTTCACGAACAAAGGCATCCTGCGGGCCTCTTTCTATTGTGGGTTGTGCCAGAACATGATTACAAGCAAAACTTAGGAAGAAACACAGCAGACCAGCAGACAGAATAAATCTATCAACGGGAAACATGCTGGTGGCTAACAGACTGCTATAGCTTTCTTTCAAGCCTTCAGTTTACCATTCCTTTCAACACACAGTTGACTGTTGCACAAATCCAACCAAAGTGTTGTCAAACTGTTCCTGCTGGCAGACTTTTAAGACAGTGTTTTATTTTTAGACCAACAAAATAGTTCTTTTTCCCCTGAAACTTCCTATGCTAAGAATAAATGCTGTGCAGCACAATATCGCATGATTTGTATATTGGCTCCGTCATTATAGCTATTTAAAGGATCTGATACATTTTATGCCATAAATATAGAATGATGATCATCTTGGATGAAAAATAACATAACAATAAAAACACCACTAATTTAAATATTAAACATTTAAAGCAACTGGTAACAGCTAATTTGCAAGTTACATGTATAGACAAAATTAATTGTTTTGAATGTGTTGATAAAGTTTTCTTATAGGCCCTTTATAGCAATCTGTTGAGTTAAACCTCTCTTCTCCTGTTTAAATTTGCCAATAATACATTTTAAAATTCCTTTTTTCAAAAGTTAACACCTCTTTCCCCTGTTTGACAGTGTCATGATCTGACTTGAGTTTAACTTTATGATGCAACTTCCTTGAACCTTTTGGAAACATGTTTTATATAATTCCACCCCCATTTTGAGAAAATGGCAATTAAAAATCTTTGCTTAAAAAAGTCAATTAACTTATTAAACGGATCCACCTGAAAACAATAAATCGACAACCCCTTTGAATTTTGGCTTAACCCCATTGTATTTCAAAATGGCGATTTCCGACTTGATGCTCATTTTGTGGTGACTGGTCACATTTGCAAGCGAGGAAATGTATAATATGTAAGTTCATTATTAAAAGTACTATTATACTAACTACAATATAAAAACTAATTCTACCTCTTTCTATGTTTCATAAACTTGCTTTCAGTTTGTTACTGGAAAGCTACAACTTTTCCTCACACTGTCTATATGTACAAGTCAATAATTTCTTACTTTTTTTCCTTGCCTTATATCTACGATTTAGAAATACAGCATGATGTTCGAGTTCTTTATATATTACAGTAGCCACACCCTAAGCCCGTGACCAAAATAATATAGTTCAGTCAGAAAAGGGGGGTATTGTGCACCCTCGGAAATCAATTTCTAATCAATGTCTCTAGGTCAGAAAAAAATGTGTAGAAAACGATTTGCTATATTAAAAAATTCAAAAAATGTCCTACGTATTGTTTTTATGCAAATTAGTGCCGCCATTACCGAAAAATCTATTTTTCACTATATCTCAGCCATTATTGCAGATAATTGAACAAATTAGGTGTCTAAACCCATGTTTTCAAGGTCAGAGATCACAATAAAAACTATTCTGGAAGTGACCACATGTACGTGTCTGTGGCATAGGGATATGCAAATTAGTGCCGCTAATACCAGAAAATCATGTTTTTGGCATATCTTGGCCAATATAGCACATATAGACTAAGCGATATTTCAAAAATTGTTACATGAAGAGGCATTTTTGAGTAGAAGTACCCGGAAGGTTACATAGCTATATTACCTAATTTTGGGGTGCTGAATCCAAAAATGATAGTAACCAAGCTGGATTTTTCGTGAAAATATGCCTAATTTGCATAAATCTTTAATACCTGTCGCGTAATGTATTTGTTCCCAAATTTGGGGATATTTTATTTTTTTTAATTTTTTAAAATTTATTTTGGTGTTTCTACTTACACTTCCTTACTTCAATAACATTTTCTAAAACATATAAGTGACTGAATGATTATGAAGACATAGTAACAATCCAAAATGGCTAGCATTATACCCCGAAATTGTGATCTTGACATAATTATTATAACCAACACTAATCTTTTATTTTGGAGGATTTCCTTGAAGTTGTTCGAGTCTCCTACATGTATGTTAGGCAACCCTTCACCTAATCTTTAGCCCAATTTACGGACACTTCATTTTTCCCATGTTTTCTTTTTGGCCTAAAAATCAAGACGTTATCATTTTTCACATGATTTCCGATATCTTCCAGTTAGGGTAACTGTGCAGTTAGTACCTTTGTTAATTTGATGCTCAACAATACTGAGGTTTGGCGAGACTACTTGATGACATCTGATGAAAAGTAAATGCGTGCAACTTTAGGGTATGATAGTAGCCATTTTGGATTGTTACTATGTCCTCATAATCATTCAGTCACTTATGCTTTAGAAAATGTTATTGAAGTAAGGAAGTGTAAGTAGAATCACAAACATAAACTTGTCTAAACCCAGGTTTTGAGGGTCAGGTATCATTAGAAGACCATTCACGAAGTATACATGTACATGTATGTGTGTCCTTGGCAGGTAAATATGTAAATTCTAAAGTGCCGATTTATCAGAAATTAGATTTTTAGCCAATATCTCAGCCAATATTGCAGCTTATGTTGGCAGAAGGGTTTTTGATAAGCAGTAATGATCAAAGTTGATTTTAAGCCATCATATTCAAAATAAACTGTAATATTGGCTGAAAATCAAAATTTTGATAAACCGGCAATTTAGAATTTACATATTTTCATGCCAAAGACACACATTACTTCGTGAATGGTCTTCTAAGGATACCTGACCCTCAAAACATGGGTTTAGACACCTTACTTGCGTAGTTATGTGCAATATTGGCCGAGATACATACACGTATTGGCTAAAAATCAAATTTCTGATAAACCGACACTTTATAATTTACATGTTTTCATGCCAAAGACACACATACATGTAGTTACTTCGTAAATGGTCTTCTAATGATACTTGACCCTCAAAACATGGGTTTAGACACCTAACTGGAGTAGTTATGTGCTATATTGACCGAGATATGCCAAAAACATGATTTTCCGGTATTAGCGGCACAAATTTGCATATTCCTATGCCACAGACACATGTGGTCACTTCCAGAATAGTTTTATTGTGATCTCTGACCTTGAAAACATGGGTTTAGACACCTAGTTTGTTCAGTTATCAGCAAAATTGGCTGAGATATACATGTAGTAAAAAATAGATTTTTTGGTAATGGCGGCACTAATTTGCATAAAAACGTGGGAAATTTTTTGAATTTCTACGCATTTTTTTCTGATCTAGAGACGTTGATTAGAAACTGATTTCCAAAGGTGCACGATACCCCCCTTTTCCGACTAAACTAATAAATTCACCAAAATGTCACTGTCCTGTTTTCTTCTCTGAAAGAAACTCTGCAATTCCTGTCATGTTTTTCTGGTCTCTAATTTGGAGTAACTTGCTTCAAATTTGCGATGTGAAGGATCGTATTCTAATTTGTATTATTCTAATTTTAAATTTTTATTTTCTTTTTTGGCTCTATTCATCTCCAGATTTTTGCCAAATATTCAAAAGTGTCTATTTTCTCAAACTTTGCCTTTCTTTAAATTTTGTTTATAATGTTTTGAAAAGTTACTTTTTTGTAAATCTAAGAAAAGGGACGAAAACGTCATAAAAAAAGACTAAGGCCCCCCCAAAAAATAAGCGCGCGCGTCGATTTTAATCATGCGCATCAATCTTTTTTTTCTCCAAAATGTTCAGCGGTATAAGCTCCAACAGCGCCCTCTAATGCCGCACCTCCTCAATTTTTTTTACCAAAGAGCACCAAGGAATGGGAAATTGCACCAAGGTAAATGATCGAGAGCACCAAGGCAAATTATGGAGGACACCAATGTACATGAGGACACCAAATAGCAAAATAGTACCCCACCTTGTCTGTACAATCCAAGCTTGAAGAAAAAAAAAAAAAAAGCCGCGTCCCCGCGTCAATTCCGGAACTTTGGTCTGACCAGAGACCGAATATTTTTTTTTTGGCCTAAAAGTCTTCAACACTGAAAAAAAACCTTGCAATCATATCCAAGGTTACAGTATGCACCATATATATATTCATTCACAGACAAACAGGTCTAATATCCTAAATTTCACAAGACCACCAGTCAGAAAAAAATATTAGGCAAAAAAAAAAAAACATGTTTAGCGTCCTGCCTTTTTGAAAAAAAAAAGGAATGTGGAGGCCCTTTTTTCCCCCATCCAAAATGGCCGCCCACTTTTTCAGAGGGTTGCAGACATCAAAATATTTGGTTGGAATCAAACATACAAGTTGAACATTTATTAATACCCCCCTCCCCCCCAAAAAAAACAACAAACAAAAAAACAATCAAATTTGTCGAAGAGCACAGGGAACACAACTTTTACATTCTGTTTTTTTCATTTGATGGTTGCTGCTAGCTTGGATGGCAATTCATACCCAGATGCGTCCTGCATAGGAACTCTCAGGCTCTGCTTCTTTATCTTGACAGGGTGTGGAACAGCCTTGCCAATTTTGCCTCTGGATGCAGTAGGATCATTCTTGCGCTCTGGGTAGGAAGCATAAGCATACTCGAGGCTTTCCTTGCACGTAGGAGAATCCTGCAGTTCCAGGTACTCAGAGGTGATAGGACCATCCCCATCTTCCTGGACCGCAGCATAAGCAGAGTCTTGCATTTCTTGGCCTTGCTCTGCCGCATCTTGGACATCATCATACTCATGGCCTGCTCGCGTCATTCTCGGTCCTGCTGGGGGGCTTGTAGACTTCCGGTAATGTTTTCTTTGCCACACAAGCAAGATGATGAGGACAATCACTGCTACTGCTAGGACCAACACAACCACAATCAAAGCCACAGAGACTGAAGATAATTGTTCATTCTGGGGACAAGTGCAGGGTGGTTCCTTGGAGGGTTTATCTGTGAGTAACCAACTGACACTCATTGTCTGTTCCCTATTGACTACTTCAACCCTCGCGGTGGTATTACCATACAGTCCAGATGGCACACTGACAATGCATATTAATTCAAGATTCTCCATCACTGTTATCTCCATGGATCGGCCATTTTCAAACACTGAGTACCTATCTGCCGGTAAAATCCCTCCAGTATCAACACTTGCTACCCTCCATCTGTAGTTAGCGATGATAGGCTCTCCCTCACCGTAACATTCAAACGATGCTTGGTCTCCCTCGTCAGCCGTGGATAGTGCTGGCAGAATGGTGGCATTCGGTAAGATTCTTAGCGGCATCACAGAGCAGTTAAGCGGCTCATCCAAGGCAGGTGTGGTCATGATGCAAGTGAAAGTCACGCCATTGTCATCTCCGGTGAGCAGGTACCGGTGAGTGACCGTACGACTCGGACCGGCCAGGTGGTTATAACCTCTTAAAAGTGTGAGGTCTGGAGGGGGATTCCCATCCGTCTGGTAGCAGTAAAAATTCACCTCATCACCCACTTCAAAGCGATCACCCCGGGTCCCTGATATTAGATCAACTTGACAATAAGGTGACTCCAGGCTGGGAGGGATCAAAACAGTAAGTACTGCTATACCTGCATTTTTCACCATCTCAGAGGGTAAGCCATATTGGCAAAAATAATCCCCACCATCGGCACCTTGTACATTCTCAATCCGCAAACTAAATTCCTCTTGATCCGCTCTACCAACGACAGACATGCGATCTCGTAGCTCTGCTGGCATTAAATCGGCATTTACTGGTCTTCCAATGGTAAGATACATATTTCTCTGCTGATGAAACCAAAACACCTCATACCCTTCCACGTTTCTCAAGTCACAGACGAAAGTTACTTCTTGGCTGATACGAACCTGGGCATCCTGTGGCCCTTCGTCTACTGTCAGTTGTGCCACAACAGTTTGGCAGTTCATCCAAGAGAGGAAGAGCCACAGAAAAACAGATGCAAGAATAATTCTCCCATGTTTTGGCGCCATTTTGTGAAAACCTGCAAAACGAGCGAGTGCACTGTACATGTAAAACTTTCCCATGTAAAATATCATAGAGAAGCCTGAAATAGTGGCGTTTATTCCATGCCTCAGTATCAATAAGCTGTGCTTACTCTATCCTATTACCATTCCAAAGAAAATATGGTCCAATGAGCACTGTTCCTGTTTGCAGAAAACTGTGATTGTGTTTTATTTTTAGACCGATCAAAATGCTTCCTGTCCTTGATCCTTTTTGAGGAAATCAGCCAAGCAGCACAACATGATTAGGCTCTGTCAGTCCACAATAACTTCCTGCTCTTTTGAAGGTGAAGTACATTGTTTGTAATTTATGCATTATGTTCGTTTGAAGTAACAAAAGTGGCATTGAAGGTGGCATTGAAGGCATCCACACTGTAACCGATGGCCTACAACTGTAGGCTGTGCACGCCATACGAAAGAAGAAGAATATTTAAATCAACGATGCCAGCAGATTAAAAAAATAAATAAAAATTAGGTCACCATAACCTTTCGCACGTGACCATGACATTTTGACCAAGATTTGAACAAAAGTATCATTCAGAAATTTAATGAAACACCATAACTGCTTGATAGAGCAAGTCACCCTGTACAAGAAACCATTCAAATTCGATGGTACTGGTAGTTATCTCAAAGAGAGACATGTTGGTGGCTAACAGAGGGCTAGATTTCCTTCAAGGCTTCGGACACACGCTGCACAAATCCAACCAAAATCTTGTCAAACTGTTCCTTCTCGCAGAACTATTGTGATAGTGTTTTATTTTTAGAATGATAAAGTCAACATTTTTTTTTCCCTTTTACTTCCCATTTTGAGAAGAATAAAATCCACCATGAAGCACAAGGCGATCATTGCACATTCCAAAATAACTTCCTGCTTTCTTAATGCATATTCCATATGAGTAAGTTTCAGATACTGGGTCACTAAAGTGTGACAGCCATCTCAAAAATTGAGTACAAAAAACAGTAATTTGTCTGTGTTTATTTGAATCTATGACATGTTTAGGAAGCAAGTTAAAAGTAAAGAGACAGTTTTCAACCCAAAGTACAGTTTTCATAGTTATTTATTTTCTGAAATTAAATCTAACGTATGTAACATAATGTCCTGTTTGTGCTATAAACAACATTTATGAGGTTGATAACTTGTGATATGTGGTTATGAGTTAGCATTAGTCAGGGAGCCCAACACTTGAAATATCAAGGTACATTGGACCAGGACTTTGGATTATAGAGAAATGACCCAATTGATAAATGTACTGAAAGACGCCGTTACAATATGTGTTAGATAAAATCTACAGAAAATACTTCAGCTTTTGCTGTTGGTTAATTTTACATTGTAGTTACTAAATGTTATATTATTACAATCACGTTGTCATTTGAAGTACAGAAATGTGTTATAATATTGTACATACGGTACCATGTTGGGAGATAGTTATTAGACATTTATGTCATAATATCTTACGTACCGGTACGTAACAAACGACACCAACATCCACAAAACATCTTAAACCACAGTGACTTACAATGTATGGAATAGACTAAAAATGAACAGTTAATGAAGATTCTATACAATTGCATGCTAAGAAATCAAAATATGATGTACATGTAGGGCCTAACATGTAGCCTAATTTAATAATTTCACATTTTGCTCTAACATACAACATGTATCAATTGTGTGGACACCAAAGTTAACCATGCACCTTTTCTTCGTTTATATTTGAATGTTATGAAGAATAGTACAAAATGTACATGTATGTTTGCATGGTAGCTTCACTTCAAATATAGTTTAAAGCTTATTGTTTTAATTTGCTCACTCTATGTAGGAGGAAAAATGAAATCTTACATAACAGTTGGACACCAAAGTGATTTGTGTTCTTAACATGATTTTTTTTGTACATGGTAAGCACATGGAGTCAATACATTTTTTTTTTAACAATGTCATAACTGCTGAAGGTTTACAATCACTCCACTTTCAATCAGGACATGTCTGTTTTCGAGTGTTGTTATGCCCATGTTATGTTTGTAACATGTTTGACACCAAATGTTACATTCGTTAGTGTATTCATATTTCCACATTTTTCAAAAAGAAGTATTTCCATAGGAACTTCTGGTATTTATAAAAAGAAACTTTTATGGAAAAATCAGTTGTCAAAAATAAATAAATAACAGTCTAACAGGAAATACCCCTTATGTTGCATGTCACATTTTGTTGTCAATTTTGTGCCCTATTTTCACACGAAATAACTGAAAAAATTCCAGTTGCTATAAAGTTATCTCCGTTAAATCTCTTACTATGTACACACATGAGAAAACAATAAAAAGACCATAAGGTTACAAGAAGGTTATAAATTCAATCTGGATTCAATCATGTCAATTTTCTCATCCCCAAATCTCATCAGTATTGTAAATATACTCATATGGAACTTTTCATTAAGCTTGATCGTCTTGGATAAAATTTACATAACAATAAAAAAAACCCACAGGTTTGAATGGGTAAACTATATTGCTTGGATACTTTGACTCTTGAACTCGGGACTTTTTAACCCATTAGCAACTGCACCACAGTGTGTTACATTATTCATGTTAGCCAATCAGACTCACAAAGGAAGTCACGTGATTCAAATTTGGCGGCTGCCATTTTATCATGATGTGACTGGTCGTCATGTGACTGATCATCATGTGACCAATTACAGAATGGAATCGGGCATGTGTGAGGGTAACTTTGCGGTCTAACCGCAATGGTGACAAAAACACCCATGAGTGAACCCATGAGTGAACTGGTAAAATCGGAAAAGTGTGTGCCTGGTTTAAATTTATTTCGAAACCCAACCCCAAAATTCAATCCTGGAAGCTGTCTGAAGTGCTTTATATCCTTGCAGTTGGTAAACAGTAACAATTAACCAGAACCAGAACTGCAAATTTGTGAGCATTATCTGTCAAGCATTAAAATGCACAAAATGTCAAATAAGGTTTGGCTTTCCATGTACATGTAGCCTGGTTTTCAATGTAAACATTTCCCACAAATGGCATTCAAAAGCTTTCGTTTCATTGTTAGAGAACTTAAGGCACTAGGTAATTGTAAAGTTGGTTATGGTACCGGCTGTAACTTACGGGTACCCAATCCCTTAATCTGTAAACGGTTCCTGACATCAGTGGTCTGGTACTTGGGTACCCGGTTCCGATGCACACCCCTAGGTGGGTATGGATTAAGTATATATACCAACAGGAGCTCTTCATACTACAATTAACGTTACCAACAATCTGAAAATTTCAAATGACTTTCCTTTTAGTGTTTCCTAAACAATGCAAGAAGATAATCACATGTTTTGCACTAATTCAGATGTATATATTCACATGTTTTGCACAAATATGCAATGCACAAGATCTTGTACGTTAGGTTTTGTCTTGGATTTTGCGCATTCCGCGCCCATTTGTATATCATGTACAATTGGACAATATTTCACAAGCTGGGTTGGCGTGACTCTACCGCGATAGGTTAATTGCCCAAGGGCATAAACACTTTCCTTGCAGGGTTTCAACCCATGTACCATCGTACATGAGTCAAACACCGTAACCACTGGACCATGGCAGTCTATATATTAAAAAAGTAATCTGTTGAAGGAAAAGTTTCCTTAATTGAAAAAAGAGTAACAGTATTCAGGAGACCTCTCAAAATCCATAGCATTTGACATTGATAGATTTAATGTTAAATAATATATATTTTTAATATGCCGGTAGTATGTGACACATGTTTTCTGGTTTGTTTTAACACTGCATGGATTTAGATATTTGAGTGTAATATTCTTTGGAATGGACAGCAGTGCACCCAAGGAGGGGTAGGGAAGCTTGGGGGCTTGAACCCCACTACAACGAAAAATGGAGGGGAAAAAAGGTTGTTAGCTAAAAATATAATTTGAATTTAGAGTAGAAGGCAAAATAGAAAATGCAAGTAACAAGAAACAACAACCATTAATGTAATACGAGATTCAGCTCCCCCCAACCCCCTCCCAACTTTTCAAATGTGCTACCGGTATGCCTGGTGGCAACAGTATGCATGGTGAGCCTTCCCCACAAGATATTAACATTAACTGTGTCAAATTGTATTATATTTTGCACGATGTGTGCTCACAAATTCAAACACGTTTAGACATAATAAAGCCAAACTGTTGTCAATAAAATTGCCAAACTGATTTGAAATTGTAATTGAGATTGTAAAACAAACCATGTATGAGACACACAGAATCTAAATTTAGAAAAAATATCATTCAAAGGTGCCGGTACTTGGACAGGGTTTAATAGTATACTTCGCAGCTTCTTAATAATCACATACATGTACAATGTAAAGAAAATACTATGCAGAAAGTCTATTATATTTTGACAACAGGTCACATATGTAAGCAGTGATATATGTATGCAAGTTTATTATTCAAAAATACTATTATAGGCCTATTAACTGGAATACAAAAAACTAATTCTACATTTTCTTTTTTTTCATGAACTTGTTTAAACACTTATACTCAGTTCCTTACTTCAAAATTACAACTTTTTCTCACACTGTCTACAGATGTTAAAGTAAATAATTTGTTACTTCTTTCCCTTGCCAAATATATATTTGTATATATGTATATAGTAGGTGTTTCTGGCAGTGGCAGCAATTATGCGCCGCAGCACCCAAGCAAAAAGGTGCTTCACAATGGGTCTCATATGTTCATATACTTCATTTACCTGGCTTTGGTTGCATTCTCCCCCAGCGCTTTGTATCCTCTGGCAAAAAGCGCTATATAAATACACTTATTATTATTATTATTAAATACATCATGTTTTAATTCTTTATCTATTACACAACCCTCACCCCAGGAACAGAATAATACATTCATCGAAATGTCACTGTACTGTGTCCTTCTCTGAAAAAATAACTGTCATTCCTGTCATGTTTTGCTTGTGTCTAAGTTTGAGGAACTTGCTTCAAATTTGCAATGTTAACAATCACACTTTTGAAATTTTGATTTTCTATTCAGTTCTTTTATGGAACGGTTTCCATCTCCAGGTTTTCGCCACATACTCAAACCCCAAAAGTGCCCCTTTAAAAAAAAAATTTGCCT